AATAGTAAATATAGTTATTGAAAATTTAAAACTCCCCAACAGAAATAGGTTGTTTTGCAGTTAGACAAATGGCGAAAAAAAACTAAAAAGGGACTTTTAAATTTATTGTTTAAAGCATTATGCTTAACTACTAAACTGTTCACAATTTTTTATTGCTAAATTTATTATATGCCTCATTTACATGGGGAAGGAAATTATTTTAATCAACATGACAGTAGTGACATATTTTTAAATTTATTTTATGCTTAACATTGAAATATTTCTTTATTTGTATTCTATTCAGTGCTGGAGTTGGAAGAACAGGCACGTATATTGTGCTAGACAGTATGTTGCAGCAAATTCAACACGAAGGAACTGTCAACGTATTTGGCTTCTTAAAACACATTCGCTCACAAAGAAATTATTTGGTACAAACTGAGGTATGATTAAAAAAGATAACTTTATTCATCTAAGGTTTGCAAACATCACTAAAATGTAGACATATTCGTCTGCTAGGACTGCCACAGCAAAGTATTACAAACTGGGTGGTTTTAATAGTGAGTACATGTGGTGTTTGTTTTTCCATTCTTGCGATCCTTCACTAGGAGGATGATCTCCAGTTCCATCCAGAATGTTGTAAAAGGTATTAATTCATTTTTTTTAATGGTTGAGTAGTATTCCGTGGTGTACATGTACCACATTTTATTAATCCACTCACAAATTGATGGGTACTTGGTTGATTCCACATCTTTGTGATTATGAATTATGCTGCAATAAGTATTCTAGTGCAAGTGTCTCTTTGATAAAATGACTTTTTTTCCTTTGGGTAAATGCCCAGTAGTGAGATTGCTGGATCAAATGGTAGGTCTACTTTTAGTTCTTTGAGGTATTTCCATGCTATTTTCCATAGAGGCTGCACTAGTTTGCAGTCCCACCAGCTGCGTACAAGTGTTCCTATCTCTCCTCATCCACGCCATCATCTATTGTTTTGGGACTTTTTGATAAAATTGGAACTAACCAATCAGCATTCATGTGCACAGATGGAAGTAAAACTCAACGGAAATCATGCAGGTGGGAGTGGGTAGAGAGGAGGGGTGAAATCTTACCTATAGGTACAATGTACACTATCTGGGTGATGGACACACTTATAACTTTAACTCAAGCAGTACAAAAGCAATCCATGTAACCAAAACATTTGTAACCCTGTAATATTCTGAAATTAAAAAAAAAATAAAAACAAAATACACCTTTCAGATGGCATCAAACTAAACAAGTAACCAATGAAGGAGAGAAGAGTCTTAATTTTAATCAGAGAATGTACATTCAATGACAATGGGACTAACTCGAATTTGTTGGAATGTTGTAAACAATCTCAGATGGTGCCACAATGCTGTAAAGGAAACAATGCATCATTTCAAAAGAAATTTAATTCCAACCAG